GGAAAACCTGGAAACACTGGACGGCCGTTTCGTCCTAGTACGGGACTCATCATCAGTGCGCATCTAGCTTCAATTGACTCATGATTTCAATCTGTGAAGTAGTATTTTGTTTAATTCCTTATTATGAACATCACCATAGAATTGTGCCAGTTATGGCCAACTAACAAGTTCTAAATAAGGCGAAACGTTTATTCTGTATTCCAATGTTAACTACACCTGATTTATTCCAAAATAAATACTATTATAGTTATTATAACAATGATTCTTATATTTAATTCGTAAAGGTTTTTGTTATATCGTGTTACTGATATTCTTTAACTGAATTTTGATTAGTTTCAGTTAACATAAGTATATCCTATAAGGATTATTTCAACATAGTCATTTTTCACAAGTTTTATTCGAGAGATGCTTTATAACTCAATAGTGGGATCTAGTATTTTTTATAATTTTGATGAGAAAGGCTCCGTGTTCAATTCTTGTAGGTGTTTATCAACTTCAGAATCTGAATACATCAAACTGACTCGTCCTAAATAAGTCAGAACACTGGATTCCACTTACTTACTTATTTATGCCTGTTACTCTTCGTGAAGGAACATAGGCCGCTCACCAGCACTCTCCATCCAATCCTGTTCTGGGCAATCCTTTCCAGCTCTTTCTAGTTGTTATTCATCCTTTTCATATTTGCTTCTGTTTCCCGACGTAATGTGTTCTTTGACCTTCCTCTTTTCCGCTTTTCTTCAGGATTCCAAGGTAGAGCTGGCCTTGTGATGTAGTTTGATGATTTACGTAATGTATGTCCTATCCATTTCCATCGTTTTTTCCTAATTTTTTTTCTCCTATATTCCACTACTAATTATAATTCACCTCTTTCATATAAATCATTCCTGTAATTGTATGTCGATGCTAGTGACGCTTTTCTTGGTCATTTAGTCATAAAATTAATTTTTCTTTGGTATATAAGTGTTTTAATCGTTAATTAATAGTTAAAGATGATGTATCATTTGTCTAAGTTGTTTGAATTTTCCCATTGATGTTTAAAATTAAAGTTGATCAGTTTCTTTTAGAATATGTACATTCCATACCTGAAGTTTCAATATTTCTGTCGAGTCACAAACATCATAAATAAAGTTGGATGATGAAGGATTTAGACTATGCTTATGCAATAAAAACAAAAGTGTATTTTACTAGCGAGCAAATTGTATATTTATTAACATCTGAGTAATAAAAATGAATAATACATAGGAATATTAAACTCCTGAACAGATTAAAATTGATAAATCTGGCAATATGAAGAAAACAGAAATGAACTATTACAACTAATGTAGAGATATGATGGAACTAATTTATTAACTGCAAAAAAAAATGTAAGAAAACAATTCGAATTGAGATGGTGGAGAAGATTTGTAGCTCAGGTGGATGATTTCGATAGAGTTTTATTCTCTGAGCTTAGTGAACAAAATCTCATCAAAAACAACTTTGAATTGAAATTTCTCATTAAAGTTTGAAATGTTTTTAATGGATTTATCTAAATAATTGATCTTTGATATCAATGATTTATCTTTAGAACTATTTGTCAATTCTCTCATTCTAAGCCTAATTACTTACTTTGATTTAAACTTTTTACATTTTAACTTTAATCGATTTGGATTTTTAGGTGAAAAATCCTCTACATCTTGATCCGCTAAAAAAAAATAACTTTACCTTGTTAAAGTCATTTATGAATTGCTATATGTCATCTGTCACGTTTCCTTGCATAAAGCTGAACTACACTATTGATTGATTTTGAGATCTTATCTTATTAAGTCAAATAGAAATTAGGGTAGCTTATTACACACAGACTTGGACTTGGAATATACATTTGAGTATACTGGTGTTACAACTGATGTTCAAAAACCTTTGCGCTAACTTACAATACTAATTCTCGAAATTAATTCTTAACTGTATTTTGATAATTATTTGTTACCTTGAAGAGGTTGTGCACTTACCATTGACGCGACTGTAAAGCCCAGATCCATCGTTTTTTTCTTCATTGAAATATCTCCCTTTTTAAAAAATCACTGAAACATCTTATTCATGATTTGTTTCATCACACTAAATGAGATCATGATAGAACAAGATACTTATTGTTAAGTTATTATTAAATTTTCAAATTAGACTGATATACACCCTAATGATTATTGAAAGTAATTAACAAATGAAATTATGAAGTTTGTCCAACAGACTTTGGACGTATTTTTACACGGTTTTCCGTTTGTCATTATTGTTATAATCATGTTTTATTGTTGTAAAAATGGTGATGCAATATAATTTGAATGTCCAGATCAATAATATTTGTAATATTTTCTTACATTAATCAAATATTTATCAGTATGGGTTGTGAAGATTAAGCGTTTGCGCGCGAAACCGAAGGCCCTAGGTTCGAGTCCCGCGAGGGGGATCGTGGATGAGTACTGCTGACGAATCACACATTGGGACGAAACGGCCGTCCAATGCTTCCAGGTTTTCCATGGTGATCTAGCTTCAAGTAACTCATGAATTCAACCATTAAATTTCTACATGCTTCAGCAAAATAAAAGAGAAATTTATAAATTTCCATATTAAATCTTCTCGATATTGAAGCGCTCTGTAACGTTAAGCTAACAAATATTACCCTTACGAAATCATAAACATATTGGATAGCATGATATAAAGTCACTCAACCTAGAAAATTAAATCATCATTCTTGTAACCGATTCGAAGTTCATATATACATATAATATATACCTTTTGAAGTTAGCTACAATGAATACAAATATTAGTTACTTATATTCAGAATAACGAATACAACTTTCTAGTGATATAACGTTCGCTCACAAGAAAAATGAGTTTCTAGAATTTCGATTAAGAGATTTATAAAGACTAGAACAATTTAAGAAACAGTTTCTACATAAAATAAAATCATCTTGATAATCAAGAAAACCTATGAACCATTAGATAGCTATGAAATTCTTAAGCGGAGAGCACTTATGACAGTAAACCAAGTCAAACACTTGAACATCAATTACTGAGACAATCATAATGACTTAAATTGATTATTTCAGTATCCAACATTTCACATTTCTAACATCAATCAGTTTATACTATAAAACGACAATTGTTGAATCCTATTAGTAGAAAAAGTGACTAATTTCAAGTATGATAGAACATAAACCTTAAATGGACTACTTTTTACTATATAACAAAATAATTATAATTAGATTTACAATAAATAAAAACAATTTTTATGCATCTGTTAGTGTGATTCATTTTGGATATTCAAATTTCCCTACTTCAGTATTATCTAACATGTACACAGTTTTAGTTGACATAACTGTATTTAATTGTACTTGCTGTTAAGAAATGACTTAATTTTAAAAAACATTCTTCTAGAACATTGAATTACTTTGAGTATAATTGGGTATCACCTGAACAAACAGGTGGCTATCAGGACTCAGTAGCTAAGTGGATAACGCGATAGCGTTTGAATCGAACGGTATTGCGTTCGAGTCCCAGAGTGAACATCAACTCTGAGATGCATCCAGCTGACGAGTCCTAAATAGGATGAAATGCGCTTCCTGGATTCCACTACTAGCCACTATTCTTCTTTGCCTAAAAAGCTTGTGATTATGAGTAACGGATTGTTTCAGCTATCCCATTGTTGATATTTTGATTTTGATTAGTTTGTTTTAGCAAGTATGAATTCTATATAGATTGTCAGAATATAGCCATTTTTCTATAAATTATTTAGTAAAGGTGGAGTATAGTTAGACGAAATTCCGAAGTAGACGTCTTTTTTCCTGGCTAGGATTTGTCATATGGATGTAGCCGTTTATTCCCAGTATCGATATTCACTTTGATACTCAATCCCAATAGCTCATTTAATAGCAACGTGAGCGTTTAAAAAAAACAAGTACTTGTTGCAAGTTTCAATATGAATATAAACTCTATCAATTAGTAGGTATGTTCAAATGACAACTCCTGTATGAAACAAAACGTTCAAACTGAATTCCATTTCTAGGCACAATTCATATGTTCCACAAAAATCTACAGTCCTTTTTGTAGTCAACGATTATTTTTATCAGATGGGTTTTGTGGATATTATAGTAATTTTAATGGTTAAGATCATGAGTCAATTAAAGCTAGACCGTCATGGAAAACCTGGAGGCACTGGACGGCCATTTTGTCCTATTGTGGGACTCCTCAACAGTGATACTGATAGGTCCGGAGTTCAAATCTCCCCAAATGTCCTGGTACGGCCGAGAGTGGGGTGAGTCCGCTCTCCCTCTCGAAATACTCTCACACGGCCACGCGTATATAGCCTCTGCCAGGAAAGTCCTACTCACTGCCTTCTCGTGGCGGGGGTGTTGTTCACGAAAATGAGAGGACGAAAAGCGAATGTCCGGCGCTTTAACCGGATTCCAAACCAATGGTGCACATGGGCTCCAGTATCCTGCGGGAACAAATGGCGTATGAACCAATTGTTGGTCACCGGCTTCCATGGGACTGCATCTCCTTACGATGCTCCTCTGCATTGTGGATCAGACCCTCAGGTCGAAGGCTCGGGGTGTGGCTCCCTATGAAAACCACCTGCTTCGGTTTGGGCACCCGGGCAGTATCACAGCCCTCACACATATCGAATGAAATTTGTGTGACGCATATGTATTTGGTGCTTTTTTGTACCATTATCTATGTGTTGAAATAATAATACAAATCTCACGAGGCGCGATCGTGGATGTGCACTGCTGAGGAGTCCCACAGCAGGACGAAACGGCCATCCAGTACTTTCAGGTTTTCCATGATGGTCCAGCTTCAACTGACTCATGATCTTAACCACTGAGATTATTTTATATAAGGAATTCATTATACATTAATAAGTTCTATTTCTATCTTCTTTTCACTTTTCATATAATTTTCCAAATAATAATACAATACTCTCATCAATTGTTATTTCTCTCTCTTTTCTTTTTTCTCTTTACATTTAGGTATTATTATATTTTGGTGTATTCGACTACGTCATTTATATTTAAGTCAACGTCATATTAAAATGTATGATCCAGATATGTTTCAAAATAATCAAATCAAAAATAACAATGAATTATCATTACATTATTCAAGTACATCAAATCAACCAATAAATTCATTACAAAATTCATTAGTATCTATGAATCATTTACAAAAATATTCATTACCTATAGGACAAATAATGAATTCATATCATAAACAACAACAACAACAATATATTCAATCTAATTTAAATTATTCTAATAATAATAATAATAATAATAATAATAATTCAATTATAAATAATTCATTAAAACAATTATCTAATCAACAAATGAATTTTGATATGAATTTATATTATGGAGATCGAACAAGTTATACAAATAATTCATATTCTTCACAATCTCCTAGTAAGTATATTAATAATAATTTAAGTGAATAAATATGATTAAAATTTATGTATGATCTGAAATTCGACTACTGACTGGAATATGTGTTATGTATATCCAATCACCGACTGCCTTGACGTGTGATGTTTTATGGTGTAAGAGTTGGTTGGAAGAAAGTTAAGGGCTGTCAGAACAAAACATGGCACAAATCTATGAAGTTAGTGACAAGTGAATTAAGCCATGTTGGTAGGTGTAGAATATCTGATTGGGATAACAACCGATGATTAGAGACCTTGAATGACATGGCTTGAAATCATTTGAAATGGTGCAAGTGCATCCACTCTTTGAGTTCTCTCAAATTCTAATCTTCTGAGTTCTTCTTTTCCTTTATTTGCTTTCCAAATTTATTTCATTGAATTATACTCTTTGAATAACATCTTCAGACCCTAATACTTCCGAATAATGCTTATACTCTTACCGCCTCTACCACTACGGGATTTGAATCGACAATTGTATCTCTGTGCTAATGTGGTATGGCAACTGAAACTGATGTACTTATGTACGAAGTTCTACGTTGTTACTGGCTGATTGACTAATTGTTTCATCTATTAGAACAATACAGATATAAGTGAACAAAATTGTTTTTAATTAAATTGTTAATAGACTTACTCTAATATCAATATATGGATTTGTGAAGATTATAGTATTTTTACAGTTGAATTCACGAGTTGATCTAAATTAGTTCACCATTGAAAACCTAGAAGTATTAGATGTCCGTTTTGTACTAATATAGGACTCTTCAGCAGTAAGGAATCACAATCTTGCATGTGGGAGTAGAATATAAAATATAAAACATAAAAACATCATTAGTTCTCGTGTGGTGGTTTGATACTTGGATTGAGGAGGTTGATTTGTTGTATGTACCGTAAACTCAGTTAAGCATTATGAAACCTTAATTTATTACTTTAGGATTCTTCATTTACTCTTGTAATCACTGTAATGTCGAATGAACTTAATCTTTCATTTCTAATATCTAGGCCCACATTCTAACTTCATTAATGATCAAATTTATAATCGAACCATAAATGGGCTATGAATTTAAATTGTATTTGATTTCGTATGTTTAACTTAGGCTAACCCTTACTAGGCGGTAATAAAAAGTCAAATACATATTAGGTTGGATGAACTTATCTCAGACATTCATTTATTCAGACAGACAGCAAGAGGGGAAGCGAAGCAAAAATTGTAAACGTACCAACGCCATTTAAGCAAACCGTGATCCAACGTTTATAATCATGAAAAATACAAGCTATCATATAGACATATACTTACTATTATACATACATGCTCAAGGTCACATTTGAATGACAAAATGACTAGGACGAATATAATAATTCATTTGTCTGAAAGTAAGGATAAACCATATGAACGTGTAAAATGGTAGTTGCTATAGCAACATTCTGTTTAAATGTTTATTAAGTCTGACTTCATATAATGTGCATGATGTATATCTTCTTGTCTATTGAGAAATATTTTAACCAGTGATCACATGGACTGAAAGAATAATGACTTCAACTCAACATTCAATACATGATAGAAATTTTAACAAATATTTATGCTCTTTTAAGTCATTTTTATGGAGTAGAATTTTATGGGTTGGTAAAACAGCAGGTTGAATAAATCAGAATTCTTGTTCGTCATATCATGTTATGTCACTAATATCTTCACTTATATTGAGAATCCCATCAGCCCGTGTAGTCTGTCAGCACAGATATAAAAAGCTCGACTAGCAATTTCCAACTAGCGTCATTTATGGCGTAGGCGAGATATTCGTCTACCAACCAAAGGACAGGTTTACTGAGCAGCAGTTCATCCCGTCCTACTTTACGTCAGTGAAACATGGCCGGTAGGAATAGAGGATATTTGTAAGTTACTAGTATTCGATCATAGGTATCTTCGAAGCATTGCTCGTATATCCTGGGACAGTTGTTAAGAAACGATTACTAGGTTAGGATGGCAAATCAATTGATGACGTAGTGAAACTTCATCAGTTGAGATGGCTGGGATATGTGTTACGTATGCTCAATCACCGGCTGCCTCGACATGTGATGTTTTATGGTGTAAGAGTAAATTGGAAGAAAGTTGGGGGCTGCCAGGACAAAACATGGCACAAATCCATTAAGTTAATGACAAGTGAACTAAGCCATGTTGGTAGGTGTAGAATATCTGGTTGGGATCCACGAGGTGATAGCAGCCGATGGTTAGAGACCTTGAATGACAAGGCTCGAAATCGTTTGAAATGGTGCAGGTGCATCCACTTTTTGAGTTCTCTCAAATTCTAATCTTCTGAGTTCTTCTTTTCCTTTATTTGCTTTCCAAATTTATTTCATTGAATTATACTCTTTGAATAACATCTTCAGACCCTAATACTTCCGAATAATGCTTATACTCTTACCGCCTCTATCACTACGGGATTTGAATCGACAATTGTATCTCTGTGCTAATGTGGTATGGCGACTGAAACTGATGTACGTACGTACGAAGTTCTCCGTTGTTGCTGACTGACTAAATTTTATTCAGACTTAAATTCCAAGTTTCAACCACAGTGATCAAGATACATTCAATATCAATATTTATTACGATTTTGAATCCTAGTATTTTCTCATATATACCTTTTCATTCTATCTTCTTGAAGCATATCGTCAATGTTTAGTTTCTATCATCATCATTTACAACATTACTTCAATCGTTTCAGTCATTAATCTTGTTAATTTTATCTCCTTGAGCTAATATGGTATTGGTTATTTGAGTCAACGGTCATCTGTTCCAGGTTCTACACTGATGATGACTGAATCAGTGAATAAATTATTCTGATAAAACTAGATAAGAATAGAATGAAATAAATGTTCTATGTTATTTAATGTTCATTGATAGATTTTGTCCGTAATATGTCCACTGATCTAGATGATCTAATTCAGAAGTTTCTATTGTCAATCTGGGGAATATTAAAACCTACTTCGTGTAGAAGTGAATTTCATAGTCTAGCATTGATCGACTTATGATCTCCGTGATATTACACAAGTGTTATATCAGTTCACTCAGGTGACCTTGTTTGTGATTGTCTGTCTTCGTAAGTGTTGTTATCCTCATATGCCTTTGTATTCACGTTGACTTTTCTGCGTAGAATAGGATGATCTAATTGTATTAATTTGTGAGTGACGTTGATTCCGCAAGACTTCAGGATCTTTGTAATGGTTTCTAATGCATTTCTCATACATAGAAAACGGTGTATTTCTTGATTTTTAAGGTTCATTTTTTACGGTATGTTGATTAGACACCTTTTTCTGAATTGGTTGAGACAATCATTCATACGGAAGACAGACTAGGGATAAGTCTCTTCAATTTTTCCTCTAGCAAGATTTCTCCACTGGTTTATGACTTTACTGAATAGTATTTGTTCTTACTACTTTTGTGTGTTATTACTATTGTAATTTAGTATTTGATCCGTATGATTTGACTTCCTATATGATTGTGTTTCAAAGATTCATGTGTTTTTTTACTGTTAAAAACATCCAATAACAAGATTTTGCTTTTAACTTTTTCTTCTCTTTTAAATCTGATCTAATCGAAAACTCTACCAACCAACTTATGAGTATCTTTGAATTTGTCTCTTTTCAGAAAAACGTGTGAATCATTCACATAACGTAATCAAATCTATGGTTTGATTATCGGTAAATGTGTAGTCTCGAGTCTTTACTCACCATTTATTCAATTTGTTCTAATGTAGGATATCTCATTAGCGTTCATTTAATCTGTCTTTGAACCTGAACGCTGAATTGAACATATGTTGTAAGACAGAGAATGGTTGTTTCTATTGAAATTTGTGAACCATGTATTCTGTAAGTTATTTACCGTTTCCAAGCTTTGGTGTGACAAGTTTTTCTTCTACCAAGATAACTAGAATCATAACATTGTAAAGTTTTTATGTAAAGTTGACTTTAGAACTGGTTAAACTTGATGTCTCATAGTTTATATCAAGGACTGATTTTAGTTATATAACCGTTGAAAATCAGTAACGTCTGGTCAGTTTCTTTTCGTCTAAGTATAGAACTCTACAAGAGTCGTCATACACAATCCCATTCATTCACTATCTGATTTAGTAATGAACATTTAACCTTTAGACTACTGAACTGTTATCTAATAGTTTACATGTCCTACCTTTATTCAATTCCTAATGTTCATCAAACATTTTGCAAGACTTCTGGTGAGCAACTGGCTTATTCTCAAGATAATTAGACTCTAAATATAACACCTTTTCATTAAAATGTAGACGTCCTTATCAGTGAATGAATAACGTTTTAAACTGAGTAGTAACAATGATTAGTTTGTTTTATCTTTATATAAATAAATAGCTTTTTGTTTGAAGTGTATTTTTTTTTAAATTTTGGACATTATTTCATTTTTAAAATTCGGTGTTTTTGGCTATTTTCATCAGTACTGTTGTACTTGCATAATACTGGTACGTGCTACTGGAGACTGTAAACTCGTGATACTCAAATAAGAATGATAAGATGATAGATGAGGATTCAATTGTCCTTCAAAAGGAATATTTGAATACACTGGTTTTTTAAGCGATTTTAACTAAATACCTGTTTGGTTTGTGTAAATTAAACCGAATAGTGCTTGACATTAGTGAAATCGTAATTTAGTGAATAGACCTAGTTATACTATATCATAAAATTTGATTCATTGTCACTTGAAGAAGAAGCAAATGTCACAGGTCCCTGATACCATAAATAATTAGATATTTCCTCACTATAATATTCTAACATTATCAAATAAGATTCCATCGCTTTCTTTACTTCAACTTCAACAGAACCAGTACAAACTTCAAATATAAGTTTTTCTCTAGAAAGACAATAAAGGCTTTATAATCTAATCATCTAAATCAAAGAATACTACTCCACTAAAACCAGCCCCTTAACTACACCTCTTCTTCATCATCTTAGAATGTACTCATC